AAGAGCGGTGGATATACAAGGTCATTCAGGATAGAAAAGACACTGTAAGGTCATTCAGGATTCAAAAAGCGCTGCGAAGCAAGCGAACAGCAAAGCAAAAAGACAGGTGCATGCTATTGCAATGCTACTATAATCAACTGTGAATTCCAGGTAGGAAAAGGAACATGGAAGAGAAGGGATTTACCGAGTTGACCTTGTCCTTTTGACAGAATCAAGTGAAGTAAAGTGTTTAGTACACTTACAGCTGCGTCTTCTGAACAAGTTAGCAAACAATCAAAACCTTGTGTTTGGTTAAGATACTTGGAACATTAAAATCATAGTCCAATCTTATTTCATGACACTGTCTTTGAAGTTAGGTTCTGATATAGAGGTTAAAATAACAAAAACAAGTGGAGATCTAGAAAATGTTATTTGAACTTGGATTGTCATGCTCCCACACTACAATGCAACGGGGAGGGAAAATGAAAAAGTAGTGATACATGCAATGCTTTCAAATAAAGGAACAATATATAAAGTGTTCATCTCTGTGTTTTTTGAACCTATTCTTCAGCTATTTTCTAGTGGTGTGATTAAGATAGGGTTGTAGTATCCAAGAATTCCATCCAGCTAACTACCACCTTAGTAATTTGCATCAACAAAAGACCAGTGCAATCTGGAATGCCCTACTTAGTGATGAACGACGGAAGTCAAATGGTAATCTTTTGATCAGAGTGGGATGTTGAGTTCAAATTCAATCCAGAAGACAATTCATGAACTTCAGTGGGATGTTGAGTTCAAATTCAATCCAGAAGACAATTCATGAACTTCAGTTTATTGAAAATCATAATCTTTTCTCCATTCTTGCATTCTAATATGAAAACTCACTGACTAATTTTATGCCAAATGTAACATCTGAGACCCAATACCAATTTTCTTTCACTCTTTTCATAGAACCTAGCACCCAATCCTGTTGGACACAATCTTTTGAAGATGTTGGTAGCCTTGTTGCACAGTGAGAAATCCTGTATGAAAGTAGTTCAAAAGGCTTTGTGCAGAAGAGGTGTAGAGGGAGATAAGTTTACCTAATGATTTCGAGATCAATAGACTGCTTTGACAAAGCTTCTTTCTCATCTAGTTTACATAATTTAAGTTCAAAGTTAACGGAGGAGTTTCAAACAACTTGTTCAAGCTTAATTGAAGTTCTAGAAAATGGCAGCAATTACAGCACTATGTTGAAATTGCAATTCTAAACTTCCATCAGAAGCAAAAATTTGGTACTGGAAATAATTCAAGGGGTTTTCTAATTAAAAAAATGCCTTAGCGATCAAGCCTAGAATTTTTTCCTTATCAGAAGAGAACTAGCCATATCTCAACCACTCTTCAAAAGAACACAGCCAGAATGACAGGGTTCAATCTTTATCTAAAATACCCTTAGTACCTAAACCATTTAACAGTCTTGCTCTAGGTCAAACATACACCAGTATGAAGTCATGGTGGAATCAATACAAACACGAACGTGTGAAGTTAAAGACGAAGTCGGTCTTCTAGGGATAGTAGATAAAGGGAAAATATAGATGCTATGCCAAGAGGAGCATAAACTGATCTTCTGTACAATATTCCATTTGCAATAAGGCAACGCCTTGAGCTAATGCCCATTTGTTTGCATTTGCAGAAGAAAAGAACAAAAGTTTAAGAGAAAGTATGTTGGTGCTGAAGCTTTGATGGCACCATGAATTCCAAGCACAAGCTTCAGCATAATTCCATTGAATAATAGTTCGTTTGTCTGGAATGGCACAAAAGTTTAAGAGAAAGTATGTTGGTGGTGAAGCTTTGATGGCACCATGAATTCCAAGCACAAGCTTCAGCATAATTCCATTGAATAATAGTTCGTTTGTCTGGAATAACAAGCAATTCCAGACTATTCCAACTTAATTCCAATTGGAGGACCTTTTATTCCTAAGATGATAGATAGTGCAGTACTACCAGCCTGAAATTTAATTAACCGAAGGTTTCCGGGAGTCAGAATTCTGAAACAACAAGAAAGAAGTTCATGTATTGATCCAACGACAAACTTTAGGCTAGGACTGCAGTACGGTGGAAGGCATAATTCAATTTCCAGTTGTGCCAACATATGGATTCTGGAAATGTAAAGCAACACATCCCAAGAGAATTTCTTTAGTGATGCGCAACCAAATTGAAGAAACAAGTGAAGAATGAAAAATCCTTTTATGCTGGAACCAAATGGTGACAGACATGAAGTGGGCAAGCTATTTCTGTATGCATGAATATTAAGGGATTAAGATGAAGAGAAAAAGGTGAGAGCTATTAGATTACAGCAAAGAGAGTGAGTAATTGGAATTTACTAAACAACATTGTAGCACTTCTGAAAAACTTACCAAACAGTGAAATGTCGTTATCAATTGCTCTATATGCGGCAGGTAACATCCTTGAATTTCAGCTAAGAGTGAGCCATTGGTTAGCGTTCTTGCTGTTCCATCAGTAGAATGATAGAGTCACCTGCTCTTAACAACTCTAACCAAACAGTAGTCACCACATTTAGGTAAGCTTAAATAAGCAAACAGCTGACCATTAGGGCCCACAGAAGATGCACAAGTGAGATCAACAAGAAATTAAAAACATTCACGTGTTAAATATAAGAGGCCATAGCTAGAAGTATGAGATGCACCTGAATGGCGCCCAAAACAATTCATATTGTGCACACATGCATGTAAATTTAATTTCAAGTCATGGTCATAAGCTAGAGAATTTTGAGAATTACTCCAATCTTTGCATGTGCACATTTGTGTGTGTGTGTTTGCAGGCATGCGATCATGCACGTGTATGTAACATAAGGAAGATACAAATTTTATAATGCGTGGGTAAAAGAAATGAAATTTTTATCTCTAAGCATATGATCTATAATTGATGCCCTACAAGTTCAATGAGAATCCACATGGACGTAGATGACATAATTCTCCATAGCCAAACAAAAACAAGATATCCCTAATAACTATCACTTTGTCACTAGTTAGGCAGAGTATATCAATGACATCATAGTCTATACAAAAATTTGAATCCTGCAAGTGTGCACTCACCCAACCAAATAACTCAACAAAACCTATGCCTGAAGCCTCCTATAATTTATGAGAAACTGATGAGATACAATTCCTCAACTAGTCATGAAGCTTATCCAAATGGCTCATTAGAAATCAATTGCAATCCTTTCTATATGTGAAGGGATGAACCCCAAATGCTTTATCTGTTTTCTGCCATCATTAAGCTAAAAGAGACGCCACTCTTACATTCAAGTGCTATTCTGTTAATTGTTGTTCAAGTGAGCTGCTGAACAACTAAATGCAATGTCTTACAAGCTACTTGCCTAGTTTTAAGCTTCCTTCACACAATTTATGTTTAACTGTAGGCTCATGCACTTACATTAACATGCATCTAAAAAAGCTTAGCCTCCTAGGTTTCCCTGCAAAACTATTCTTTACAACCGAATCTAAACTAAAGTAATGTAACATTGTAGGCATAAACCAAATGTTCCCTCAACTGATAACCATGGTCAATTATAAGGTTATTCTTGATGCCATTCTGCAGGTTCTCTACGGTCCACAGATACTTGTTCCCCTCAACTTCCACTTTCCATTAAATCAATTAAACGGTGACCAGTCACCAACAGCTCTTTTCTTTAATTCAATAATCCATGATCTGCTGTTAGATATCCAAACCACCATTCAGTGTGTAATATAGTGAGCGTCTAACTCTCTATACCATTGCTCAATTAAAAATCATCATTTATAGTCGGACCTTGAACTTGAGAAGGCATCACATGTCTACATATCTGCAGATGCATCAGCATGCTGTGTCAATTAAAAGTTTGTTCATTGAGTACTCCGAATGTCATCATTTCAACTATGATGATGAAATATTGCAATTGTTTCTTGATAGAAAACAAGGTATTCATTGAATAGGAAAGAAAATTACAACATAGGGACAAGGTGATCCCTAATTAGACCCAACTAGAACAACAAAACAAAAACCAAAGCATGGTTTGAAGCATCCCATATATCTGTCCACAACCACAATTCAAGACCAACCAGAAGATATTGTTAAGAAACCTCCACTGTGAGAACCAAAGAACAATAGGTAACTGAAAAACTTAAACTTGGTACTTGGTACAATTATAAAAACTGATTCAGAAAATTGCTAAAAATATTTAAACTTAAATTAGTTACAGGGCAAGTTGATAGCAACTAAAAGATATGCTCAAATCCACATCCAACAAGTGTTAAGTCCCAGGCAGTTAGGAAATCCAATTCAGGAATTGATACACATGGTTCGGCTCAGGACCAATAGATCATTACAAACTTTCAGCGATCAAGTGGTGTCCAGATCATGTTGTCGAGGTTTCTCTGCTTATGAGTTTGACACTGGCATAAGTCATTACAAACTTTCAGCGATCAACCAATGGTATCAGATTCTATAGTTCAATTAGGATAGCTATTCATGGACAAGAGTGTACCATGGTATCCTGAGACCACAGTTAGTTTGGATTCTTTAGTTTCCCCACATGACCCCTCGTTGAGTGACAACTAGTTGTGAGCTAGGATTCATTGTGAAGATGTGAACATAAGTGGGAACTGGTAATTGATGTTGGGTAACCACACTTTCCCGGTTACGAAGTTCATATGTGGATGGGGCTCTTACTTGGTCATGGATGTTTTTCAGAATGTTATATATTGCTGATGCAGATAAAAAATAACATAGCTTCCAGGACAGGAACTTAATGAATCTTTTCACTTACTTGGAATGGCCGAGTATGGTAGCCGAGAAAACCCTGCAAGAGTAAAAGAAACAAAAGGAGTGACACCAACTTGTGTAGGCTAAAGACCCTCCCATGTACAAATTAAGAAATTGTGCTAACAAGAACTAACAGGGTTTCAGTATATTTAATCACATACCTAGAGGCACTAGCCTAGTAGCCTTTTTATAGAGGTGAGGGACTGTTTGCTATTAGGAATCAATCTCCTTTTATGGCATGCATACTTACCAGGAATGGGGGAAGCTATGAATCGAGGAACTTAGATCAAGGAATTGGAATCGGAGCAACTACTCCTCCCTAGCTGATCTCATTCCTGATTTTAAGGGTATTTGTTGTGATACACAACAATAAAGTTACAATCCGCCTAACTGTCAAGTTTACTGTTATTTAGTCCATGTCTTTCCTGATTTCAAGTTAACTGTCAATTTATAAAGCACACACAACCAAAATGAGCCCAAAACGTGGATGAATTTTTTGTATACAATGTTAGAAGTTAGAACAACCCACCCAAAATCAATTAGGGATGAGTGAAGAAGGCCAAGATATTAAATTTTAGTGCATGCTTCAAATTCCTAGGATATAGTATTCTCTAACATTTTGAACTACGTTCTGCTACTCATTTCATGCTCGTCTAAAAATACTTTTTGGTTTTGTAATTGCTAGTTTTGGCAAAGGGAGGCAGCAAGCTTGAGGCAACAATTGCAGTACTTACAAGAATGCCACAGGTACAGTCATTGCTCTATAATGAATCTTCCACATAGCTTAGCAATTTGATAGGACGTACCAAAATGTTGAAATGCATAATAAAATTGCCTATCAGGTTGCTTATTCAAAAGGTTATCATCCTAATTTAGGCTTCATCCAACTATCAAAGATAAAGCCCACAAAACCAATTGACATTGAAGAAGAGGTAAAGAAAATAGGTTTTTCTTTTTTCTTCTATATAAGAAACAGAACAATCAATTAGCATTACTTAAGGAAATACACTAGCAGTGCACAAGAAGTCCATTCAAGCTATCACTAACATCCAGCCCCCAAATCTGCATAAAAGAAAAAATGAAATGTCACTAAACTCTTTAGAAACTAAAGTCCACAATGACGCCAAATAATGCATTCTATCCCACAAGAAATCTACCCCCTTTCTACATTTTTACTTCAAAAATCCTAATATTCCTTTTCAACACCCAAAAATGGCGATGACAGAGCATCTCCATGACACTTTCAGAATCCTAGAGACACAGATTTAAGAATAACTTCTTCTTTTCACATATAAGACTGCCTAGGATGGTATTTAATCTTTTACTTCTCATAATTCACATAACAGTCAAACAGCATATTAGAAAATACTTCGAAATTGAAGATCTGTATCTATGGCTTGGAAATTAGTCATTGGAGATCAAATGAAAGATTGGCTGGATGTTTCTGTATAAACTTGCAGGCAGTTAATGGGTGAAGAACTTTCTGGTTTGAGTGCCAAAGATCTACAGAGCCTGGAAAACCAACTGGAGACAAGTTTGAAAGGTGTCCGGATGAAAAAGGTACGCCCTAGTCCTGATTATATAGTCTCAGTTAATACTGTCAAGATCCCTTCTTTATGTAGCACATGCATGACACTCGGTCATTTTTCTGCAGGACCAGATATTAAATGATGAAATAAAAGAACTGAACCAGAAGGTTACCAAAGAAAACTGCCTCAGTTTCTCCTAGTCCATTTATGTTAATTCACGTTCTTGGGGCCTAATTTATACCTATTTTATATCTTTCTTTTTACTTATTTCAGGGAAATCTCATACAGCAAGAGAATATGGAACTGTATAAGAAGCTAGACCTCGTAGGTAAAGAGAATGCGGAACTGCTACAGAAGGTATTGTCTAAAAGACTGTATAATACTAATAAAATATATCCCTTAAGCTCTACTCTTCTATTTAACACATATTATACTTCACTAAAGGGAGGAGACAGGTGACAGGTGGAAGGAAAGAGAGAGAAGCTAAATAAGATATCACTAAGCCAAAAACATAAGGCCATTATGTTAATTATAATATAAGCAAATGTGAAGGTTTCTTCTCTGGAAAAGGCTGAAACAGAAGTTTTTAATCTCAGGTTTATGGAGCAAGGGGCGTGAATAAAGAAAACAAAAGTTCCCAACCTCCATATACCATCACTAATGGATATGATTTGCAAACACCCATCCATCTGCAGCTAAGCCAGCCACAGAATCAAACTCAGCCTCGGCCTCAGCACAATGAAATACCAGCAAAAGGAATCAAATTAGGGTATGTCCTAAAACTGCTAACAATATGTATACCTATAGCATACTATATTGATTCTTATGCCCCAAAAAATGAAAGAATAAGCAAAGCTTACTATTTTATTTAAATTATTAATATCTCCTCAAATTCTGCAACAGATTACAACTGCATTAGCGCAAAGTTGTTTCACAGGTGTGGGTGGCTATCTGTCATTATGCAGTCAACTTGCACCACAGTGAAAAGCAATCTTCTAGAAGTGAGATGTCATACTTACAGTAGCATCCAGCAGAGGTACCAGCAGCTTTGGTATGAAATGTTCCATGAAACAAACTTTAGAATCTGTGATAGAAATAGACAAACCAATTAGGTGTGTAAATTTATGCAATAAGGGGAAAGCATTGTGTGTCAGAAGTATTTTTATCTGTATTAAAAATGTGTTGTGATCAATCAGAGAACAATTGTCAATTGTTGTAACTATATTTTCTTTTCCTGAATAATAATCAGCAACTCGAACAGGATAACTCTCAAAAAATTTGTTGCTTTATGAATAGTTCAATGAAGAGTCTGTTGGAAAAAGAGTTGCATAAGAAATATGGAGACACAGCATCATATCATGGAAGATACTTTTAAGAACATAACGAGAATTCTACGAGAACCGAGCATGCCTGTTACAGTTTAAGTGCCCCTCTATCCCTATCTTTTTATTTATTTTTTCTTCTAGCTGATGATTTCACATATGTACGGAAAAACAAATATTTTTCATTAAGAAAAAGTAGTTAACAACCCAATCATTTGTTTTAACTATTTCAGATGATCATCTACTCAAAGGATTTGATAAGTACAGATAAACAATCTGCTGAAACTAGTAAACCACAGATGCACACTAAGAGAGTAACATGCAGAACGGATGAGAAAGCAGCATGTGTTAAGTTTTCCTTTCATTCTTACATCTAGGACACACTGATATACCAACTATATTTTGTAAATATGATTTTTGAGAATTATTCACAAATTATTATTATTATTATTATGTAGTTGAGTTAATTACAGAGACAGATCTGGTGAGATTAACAGTAAATGATGATCACTCATATAAACTTTGTATTCATTCTGAAAAATGGAGAGAAAGAAAAAGAAAAAAGGATTTCCTCTCTGTTCTAGCACATTCGAAAGTGCGGTGACAAAAAGCCAAAATTTCTGGCTCTTGGAACCCCGAGAAGTTGAACACCCAAAACTACATAAAATTGGTCTGCACATATTAGGAGATACCCCAATGAGAATGTGAGCACTAAATGCACATTTTGTATCATGATCACACAGACATAGTACAAAAAACCACATGTAGGCATGTTTGGTCGACACAATGTCCAGCACATGTAGCAGACAAATTTAACTTTGATTTATATTATCACTAATTAGGCACAGAATGGGGAAAACAAAACAAAAAACAAAAAAAGGGGCCAGAATCCTGTACATGTGAGATCTTAAATGCATTAACAGTGCCTGAAGGCTTCTATAATGCACTCTCTCATAACTCCCAATGTATAGCGCGTTGTGTGTATATGCAATGAAAATTGATAAGAGGAAAGACCTTTTCACGGACATTCCAAACATCATGGAAGATTCCTATCTCCTGCAGCAATTGCTCAGTATCAGGTACCGTAGCTAACGAATAGGATAATTCACTGCTTTCGTGAAAGCTGCTAAATTTGCTGTCATTCCAGAAAGCAAATCTCCAAATAGTAGTTTGTTGGCTCAATGAATTTTTCCACAATAAAACCATTCCTAGTATTCGTCACTGTACTAAGGATCTAAAACAGGACTACCAAAAGTTTTAATGAGATTTTTTACTACAAAATCTTCAACTATTACTTGTAATTAGTGCATATTTAATGACTTAGAAGGCAATCATGCTAATACTTTAAACAGTAAAATGCTCTTCTCAAGATTTATTGCTGCTACTAAGATTCACTTTTTTGGAGGCCCAGGATTTCAAAGAGGAATACCCCTCGCTGCTACCAGTCCGTCGTGTGTGAATGACTAAAAGTTGCAATGAAAAAACAACAGCAGCATCAGAAAACAAGCTAGTAATTGTTCGACATATGCTGGTAAAATTGACTTAGCTTAAAAAGTACAGTTCTGATTTGAAAAGGCAATGCTTTATGGTCTTTTCGTTTTTTCTTTTTTGGCAAAATGCTCGATGGTCAGTTAAGCAGCCATCTGTTATCCTAAATATCAAAGACGGGGTTTTATATGCTTACATTGTCATGATTTCTCCGAAATCATGTTTTATTTAATAATTGATTTTGTGGTCTTTTAGACAACCTCTCAGATCAGCCACAACCACTGATTCTAATTTAAAATACCAAACAGTGCACAAACATCTACCATAAGCTAACCCAAGATTCTCAACTGTGCTGAAACTTTAAACAATGTTGTTGCACTTAATTTCTACCATATACACTCATTTAAGCCCAACACTCGCAAAGACTAGTGCATTCCACACTTCTATTAAATTGCTTGAAAATTCCAAATATACCCCCAATAAGTCATAGCATAGTCATTCATACTTTTTTTTATGAGAAACCCAGCTTTCTTAACAAAAATGGAAGAAAAATACAAGAAGGATGGACGAGAAGTACATATCCAATATACACTCTCAAATAAAAAAAAACTTTAATCCAGATGAACTACACTAAAAGGAATGAAAAAACCTCTGTTAACTCCAATATACCCTTCAAAACACTTAGTATATGATAAAATAGTGATTTCCCTCAACTTGAGATAAATTTAAAGACATGTAGAGCCATATGACATATGATCATAAAGATATATTTAGAAATCTCTAGAACCAGGAAAACTTGTAAACCCAAAAAAAAATAATGAGGCAAATAAAGCAAATTGACAAGCATAACAGACTACCTGAATCCGAATGTGATTATTGCAAGGGACTAAACTTAAGGAAAAAGAAACTATTTTAATATTTTCAAATCAGCAAACCCTTTCTACTCAAATTCATGATTTGCCTCCTCAAAGTAATAGCATCTCATAAATTTGTTGGGATAAAAAAGCTTCTCAATGACTAACATTAGAACAAGGGGTAAATTGTACCTATAGTCCTTGAACTATTACCTAGTTTTCACTTTGGTCTCTCAATTCAGTTTTTGAATTTTATAGTCCTCAAACTTTTAACGTTGTATCACTTTGGCCCTTCTGTAAAAGTCTGTTAGTTTTTCTGTCATTTTAAAGGGCTAAAACGTCTCCTCCCACCATATATATAATTACCCAACCTTTCACCCTCCACTTTTCTTCTATTTTATCCAAAACTGAAGCTGAAGTTTCAATTTGGGATGAAGTGAATTACATCTTCAATTTGGAATCAAATAGGAGAACAAAATGGGAGGTGAGAAATTAAGAAATTATATACAATGTGGGTGGACAAATTTTACCCCAAAATTTTGAAAGCAAAGCAAACGGACTTTGATAGAAGGACCAAAGTGACACAAGCAAATGCCAGAAGACTAAAGAATTCGAAAGCTTAATTGGGAGACCAAAATGAGAATCGGGTAATAGTTGAGGGACAATAGCCACAATTTACTCTTAGAAAAATACTTTCCCTGGTAAATCATCTTGTTATGTATTGATAATGTATAGTATTTCTTTTTATGAATGATAATGTACGGTATTCATCATTGTTGTGCATTGATAAATCTTTTAGATTTAAGAAGCGATGCAAACCAATTTCCAGTCCCTCCATTTCTTTTGAAAAATGAATAAGCATTTCCATCAAAATCTCCCAGTTGAGATGGCTGCATTCCTTCTTTAAATTCACTTTACATGCTATGCCTGAACATATTCTCTAAGGAAATTAACCACTTACAATTGTCATTACTTCTAAACACCTCTTCTTCGAAACTTAGTCCATACTTATGCATTTGAGAAATTGTAACTAAAATGCTAATCAGGTATACATATGTATATATGTAAAGAGGCATATTAGTGAATTCATAATTTGCTTTACTTATACACGTATACTTATGTAAAGCAAGATCTATGATCTTATTCTTAGATAAAAAGTACAACATCACATTATTACTTCTACATTTGATACACTGAACACACAAGGATGAGTTATTGCCTTAACTAAGTGCAGAAGTTGGTGAGTAATTTGATACCAGAGCCTGGACAATTTGTCATCCAATCTATTAATCCAGAAACATAATTTTCAATAGGTAGATGCTACACATACCAATGATCCTAAATTCTTCACAGAGATTAGTTGCACATAGACATTTTACTAGGCAACACCACAATGTACTTTCTTTTTCAGCTTTTCCCTGGGGATTTGGTAGGCATAAACAAATACTTCCAAATATTTTCTGTAAGAAACGCAAACTCCTATTTCAAATAAAGAAATAAACCACAACAACCGTGAACAGTACGTCCATAAAAAAGTTACATTCAAATCAAAAAGCCATCCCTCCCCTCTCCCTCTGTGAAGATAAATTATACTGTATTACACAGTAAAGATTAATCTAATCCACTAATTGAAGGTATAGCGTATCCTTTCCAATGGAACATATGTTTTAAAAAAAACACAAACCCACAAGAAATCCAGTGGCTCATCATTATAATCAACACATTAATATGTTTTATCAAAATTTAAATCATGGCCAACTTCTAAAGTTGAAATTTTATCCGCAATTCTAAAACTTAGAAGCTCCAGACCTATCTATATGTCCCTTGCAAGAAGATATAATAAGTCCAAACAATGGCACCTCTATTCTGGACTAGCTACTACCGATGCCAGAGATGTGAACCCAGTTGGTTGCATCTTAACAGTCTATAGATGCTCTTACTTAACCACTTAACTAGCCCATTATTACATCATCATTGATTATCATCTGAATGTGTGGTCATTGGTGGTCACTATCTTAGTCTAGCAACATAATATTAGCATACATACACATACAAATATACATACAACCATTACTCTACTGAAAAATTACGACCCGAAAACATTATAATCCTTCAAATATATATCAATCAATTGTATAATAAAGCAACCTATGGGCAACATAATAGTTGATTGGCAGCCAATTAAACGTATTAGTGCTTAGCAGTAATTCATTACCTGTCATACTAATTATAATCCAATGCAGCCCATCAACCTCACTGATCAAACAAAAACCATTAACGCCAAATCCTCATCCCAGCCAGAAACTCTACTGTCAATCAACAAAAAAGAAAAGAAATATATAAATTTTGAAAAACGATCACCAAACCAGAGGAATTACTTTCAGTATATACAGAAACAGCACCATACAATATTCAGATAAAGAATGCCCCTTACATAACTAAATGTATTTATATGTATATATATACAGATATATATATATGTATGAATGTATAGGTGTCTAGAAGTGTGGTCGTTCATCGTCTTCGGTACCTGTGAGCGTGGAAACGAAGCCATGGAAATTTCATTTGCTGCTCTTTGAGACATCGCAGTAGCGAGAACGAAGAGTGAATAATCAAAAACCTCAATTCAAGTTAAGGAGAAGACGACGATCTGGTTTTTCAGGAAGAAGTCGAATCCGGAAGAAACCGAAAGGAACGAAAGCAAGCGTTGCAAATTTTTATACATAAAAATAATGATTTTTTTGGTTCGTGTCGTGGAGAGATAAGAAAATATCTCAGGAGCTGTGGGGTCGTGAGGAGGTAGATTAATTGTGTGCAGCCGGGTGCTGGTGTGACCGGGAGTTGATTGGTTCGTTTGGGAGATGAGGGTGGTATTTTCGTCATTTCAGGTTACGCGTCAGTATACGTATGGAAACTGCTGATTGGGTTGGGGATGCGTAATGTAAGACGGTGGGTCCATGAAGCTTGGGCCCCAAACGGGTACAAGTTAGTGTACGGGTGCAGGAACGAGGACACATCGGTTTTCGAGTCCACATTCTACTGTAGTGCAGCTACTGCCGCATTGGCCGCCTATGGTATATTCAGTTTTTGTTTTTTTGGTAAGTAGATTATAGGTACATGAAACTTGGAAAGGTGAGAGTTTTTTCGTTAACCATACCAAAACTTCGGTAAACTAATTTATCTTCCTTTAACTAACTATTAGATTATCTCCAACTATGTTGGGGCTAAACTTAAATTTTTACCCTCCAAAATATAACTTTTCATGTATTTTCAAGGCTCAAAATTTTTTTTCCTCTAACCTTGCAGACTCATAATTTGAGTCCGCAACTTTATTAAATTGTTTAAAAATAATTAACCCCTAATTCTTTTTCTTGTTGATTTAATTTTCTAAACATTTTAACCTAAAAAAATTAAAATTCCAAAACATAATAGAATTTCACTTAAAAATAAAAACAAGTACAACATCATACGTATGCCCGGAATAATTCGAACCCTTCATTGAAGTCATTGCCATAATTTTCTTCTATTTTTATTTTTACTTTTACTTCATTGGATTCCTTTATCATCATTTAATAATGTTCTGAACTTTTGCCCACCTCCACTTGTCTTCTTCAATTATTTTATGAACCCTTTCACATTACCTATTGTCTTGTTTTAATCATGTTCTGAACCATTGCTTAACTTTGTTCATCTCACTTTATTGGATTCTCTTACCCTATCTTTTCCTATCTTTATTTAATTATTTTTTGAATCATTTCCCATCTTATCTTGTTTCAATCACGTTCTGAACCATTGCTTATCTTTGTTCATCTCACTTTATTGGATTCCCTTATCTTTTCTTATCTTCATTCAATTATTTTCAAACATATAGGTTATCTTATTCTCTTATCTATTTAAGAAGTGTTATTCTATTGAAGTGTTATTCTATTGAATTGACCACACAATCTCCTTCAATTCTTCTTCTTACAATGAATTCACATGGGAAGGCTATACAAAATTTCTTCAATGATGATTTTGATGATAATGACCTTCATCAACAAAGGATTGCAATGGTTGTTCAACACCATACGTTTTTGTTGGAGCAATATGCTCAACAATCTAAACATGGTGGTTCTGTTGCAGGCCATGAATACAAGAAGAGAAAAACATCATAAGAGTCTTATGGATGACTACTTCTGTGAACTACCACTTTATTCCCAAGTGGACTTTCGCAGGTGGTTCAGCATGAGAAGAGAGTTTTTCTATCACATCTTGAATGATGTTGTTGCACATGAGTCATACTTTACCCAGAAGATAGACGCTTGTGGACGACAAAGTATATCCCCATAGCAAAAGCTAACATCCATTTTTCGAATGTTCACATATGGATACTCGGCAGATTCCACCGACGAGTAATGTAGATTTGGTGAATTTACAGCTCTTGAATGTTTGCGAAAGTTTTGTTCTGTTATTGAAGCCGTGTATGGTTAATGGTGCCTCCGTTTCCCAAATCCGACTGTCCTTTGCATGCTCTTGCACAAGGCTAGTTGTAGAAGATTCCCAAGTATGTTAGGCAGTCTTGAATGCATTCATTGGGAATGGAAGAACTGCCCCAAGAACATCAATGGATGTCACTCTTGAACAATAAACTATTGGGCAGGCTGTCCATGTTTTTTTTTTTGGCTTCATTTTATTACATATTTTTCCAACAATTATTTTAACAAAAAATGCACCCACAATCAATGTCACTGTCGAAAAATGACATGGGCATCATAACCCGCTTGTTCTTATTTGGAGGCGTTGTACCATTTTTTCTTCATGCCCTCCTATTTATCCTTATATGGTAAATTCCCTTTTCAAAATTCCAAGTTTGGGGCCACAAATGGTATTGTTGTCCTCATCCCCTACTTGGTCCAATAAATAATATATTTATTTTTAAGTAATAACTATGTAAATTACAATATAATACAATCAATCACTATTTAATATAATATTTATTTAGTTTTTTCAAATTGAATGGAGATTATTTTAAGTCATTGAGTTGAATTTTATAATTCAATTTAATGTAATTGATTTGAATGATAATTTAAAGTAAAATCTAAGTGTTATAATGTAGAATAATTTTTAAAAATAAAAATAAAAAATTGGAGATTCAGGTAAGGTTTGGGTTGGAGGCAACTGTCCAACGAAACGAAACCAAACTTTAAGTGGTCACTTTGAATTTCCATGGCTCTGTTCCATGATTTTTATTATGTCGTAGTGGAAGCATGGATGACTTGACTTTGAAGACTTGGACTCTTTCATTCCACCAAGCACATTTTTGAGAATTGGGATTTATAATGCAAAAGAAAACATTAGTGTGTCTTTGCCAAACTTTATACCCAACTAGTTTTTTCCAGTCCACAGAGGTACATTATATTGAACTCTCTAAAGTCCCTTTTTACCAAAATAACAATTGTGCCTAAGTAGAAAATCACTAAAGTCCCTTTATATTCTAAAATAATTTTACCAAAACCACATTTTTCAGAAGGGAATTATCTTTTTGAAGTGGGATGTTGCTGGTATGCAAAAAAGAAGAGCATGCATTAATTTTTGAAACATCCTTTCAACTTGAGATCGGATTCTTTCCTATCTTTGTAACGTGTTTGAGATATTCACACAGACAGAAGACCAAAACCAAAGTCATACATTTATTCAAGGTAAAACATGAAAAAAGACTACAATCTATCATTCATCTGCTATTGCTAGAAATTAAGTTCGACACTAATTTTCAAGATGCAAGTGGCCAGGAAGTAACTTGAGTTAAGTAATTGAATAAATTTTGGAATTATCCAAATAAGATAATTCCATTTTTACTATTATTGTTTGTGAGGTATCAATATAAGAAGTTCATTGAGTTGGGGATTAATGGACGAGAAGACTTGTGGAAATCAAATTTTATATGGGAAGAATGAATTTGTGATCAGTGGACAAGATTTTGGGTCATTAAAAATAAGAAAGAAATGAGAAAGTGATGAATATATAGGTGAAGATTCAAGTCAATATCAGGCACAATTGTTTCCTATAATACGTATTAGTGGATTTCTTATGCAATATCAAATCAATTGGCCTTTGTTTACCATTCGTAAATTTGGCAGGAACATAGATAGCCGATCTCTTCCCTTGGAGAAGTCCCGCCAGAGCACTCTCCCGCTCCGAGTGTCGCTGAACTCTTAACAGTTAAACTCTCTCCTCTGAAACGACGCCGTCAAATGCCTCTTTCCCCTCCGGGAAGATGGAGAACCTGCATCTTTGCCTCAATGGCTCCGCTACTGCAAACCCGAAGCTTCAGATCAGACGCAGCGTTAGAAGCTCTGGCCAAAGCCTCTCAAGACAGAGTACCCAACTTGCTTCTCTACAACTACCCCTCATTCTCTGGAGCTTTCTCCGCCCTCTTCGCTCACCTCTTTCACTCTCGCCTCAACCTCCCTTGTCTCTCTCTGCCTTTCTCTTCCGTCGAACCCTTCAGGTCCAATCTCTCTCTCTCTCTCTCTCTCATTTTCTTAGCATCCAAACATGCCCTTAGCATAATTGTTTGTTTGTTTTGCTTTTACAGGATTGATGATTTGTGTATTGAAGGGCTGGAGAGATGCTATCTTCTTGATTTTCTCGGCCCAAAGGGATTTGCAATGCATTAATTTTTGAAACATCCTTTCAACTTGAGATCGGATTCTTTCCTATCTTTGTAACGTGTTTGAGATATTCACACAGACAGAAGACCAAAACCAAAGTCATACATTTATTCAAGGTAAAACATGAAAAAAGACTACAATCTATCATTCATCTGCTATTGCTAGAAATTAAGTTCGACACTAATTTTCAAGATGCAAGTGGCCAGGAAGTAACTTGAGTTAAGTAATTGAATAAATTTTGGAATTATCCAAATAAGATAATTCCATTTTTACTATTCTTTTTTGTTGGGTATCAATATAAGAAGTTCATTGAGTTGGGGATTAATGGACGAGAAGACTTGTGGAAATCAAATTTTATATGGGAAGAATGAATTTGTGATCAGTGGACAAGATTTTGGGTCATTAAAAATAAGAAAGAAATGAGAAAGTGATGAATATATAGGTGAAGATTCAAGTCAATATCAGGCACAATTGTTTCCTATAATACGTATTAGTGGATTTCTTATGCAATATCAAATCAATTGGCCTTTGTTTACCATTCGTAAATTTGGCAGGAACATAGATAGCCGATCTCTTCCCTTGGAGAAGTCCCGCCAGAGCACTCTCCCGCTCCGAGTGTCGCTGAACTCTTAACAGTTAAACTCTCTCCTCTGAAACGACGCCGTCAAATGCCTCTTTCCCCTCCGGGAAGATGGAGAACCTGCATCTTTGCCTCAATGGCTCCGCTACTGCAAACCCGAAGCTTCAGATCAGACGCAGCGTTAGAAGCTCTGGCCAAAGCCTCTCAAGACAGAGTACCCAACTTGCTTCTCTACAACTACCCCTCATTCTCTGGAGCTTTCTCCGCCCTCTTCGCTCACCTCTTTCACTCTCGCCTCAACCTCCCTTGTCTCTCTCTGCCTTTCTCTTCCGTCGAACCCTTCAGGTCCAATCTCTCTCTCTCTCTCTCTCTCATTTTCTTAGCATCCAAACATGCCCTTAGCATAATTGTTTGTTTGTTTTGCTTTTACAGGATTGATGATTTGTGTATTGAAGGGCTGGAGAGATGCTATCTTCTTGATTT